AAATTTAACCATAAAAATTCAACGACCTGTAACTTTCAAATATTAAAATTAAAATGTATAATGAAGCAGTTGGATGCTTTGTGCTTTTCTTTTTTTTTTCTGCCGGCAAGGATTCAGCTTGGCTGCAGATCCCAAGGGTAAATCAATTTACAACACAGTGCGGCTAGCGTCAACTTGTCTGACTGGTGGGGGGGGCATTATGAACGTACGGATGAAAGAATTTCCGTGGCGTCAGATAATTTCATATTCGTCCTAACGACATGAAAGAATTGATTTGTCAGATTTGGTTCCGTCCATTTTGTATTTAGTTTGACGAACCCTGGAAGGAGCTCAAGAACGCTTCTAGAACCTGACTAGTGAATTTATTTGTAACTGTACAGTTAATTAAATTTCATGCAAGCTTTTGTCTTCATCTTCTCCTTTTCCTCCCCCCTAATAACAATAACAATAATAATAATGCAGTTCTTATTCATATACGTGCAAACCTAACAACCCAGATGCCAGTTACAAAGTCAGCGCAAGTAAGAGAAAGAAACGACAAAACAAAATTGGACAATAATAATAATAATAATTCCATCGAGAGATCAAAGTTGTTAGTAAGAAGTGAGAAACGTAAACTATACACATTCACAATATTTATGCCATTATGCGGCCGTTAGCACTTGCAGGCTGAGCTATTGGCACTATCGTTAAGAACAAAATAAGTGAATAAAGAAGCAAATAGAATTCACCCCAGTTGTTTCTCTTCCTCACACATTTTCTTGCTGTTTCCTTCTATCTTTCTCTCTTTCTTTTAACCTCTGTTTCTTTCTGTCCTTCCGATCTGCATTCCCTCCTTTGTTTCACAGTCCGTCATTCTTTCTTTCACTTTCTTCGTGTTTCTCCTTCCATTTGTTCCTACTTTCTTTGCCCTCCCTTTTTATATTTGTTTTGCTGAACGTCGGGGCTGAGTGGCTAGCGTCTCGGCCACGCGACCACATATTCTGACTTAGACTTTCGTGGTTTTCCTCACTCCCTCGGGTATTTTTATTTTTTTATTGCTAGTGGGGTGGGACTAAGTCCCTTGTACTGCGGCCACTTCTGGCCTATTGTACCAGCCCCAGATGATAGGTGAGGGTGATTGTGGAGCAATTGGTGGAATGAAGATTGGCAGGGGAAACCGATGTACTCGGAGAAAACCTACCCCACCGCCACTTAGTCCACCACAAATCCCACTTTGACCAGAGCTGGGGTCGAACCCGGGCCGCCGTGATGGGAAGCCAGCGACTAACCGCTTGAGCTATGGCGCGGCTCTCCCTCGGGTAAGTTCCAGCAGAGTACCCCAGTTCACACTACCACTTCTGTTCACAGCCTTTCCATTTTAACTTTCCCTAATCATAATATCTTTGTGCGCCCTGTAGTATGAATACTGGCAGCAAAGTTGAAAGGAACCGTATACAGATGGGTTTCCCACTCTTTGACCTGAGCTGTACCAGCTAGACTTCTCGTGGGCTCAGTCGAGATGCAGCAGTGAGGTCGGTAATGGGAAAATGAGGAAAGGGGTGGTCATGACTCAGTATGTCCGGAATAGAGTCACTCACGGTATTCATTATGCCATGCCACTCGGGCTGATGTAGTGAGTACACATTGACCTACAGCGAAATTATACGAACTTCTGAGTTGCGAGGGAAAGTCAGTAAATAGGTCACAAATGGACATAGAGCGTAGAGCATGTGATATTCTAACCCAGAAAAACAACATCTGTATCTCGATATATCCTCCATCAACATTAATACACTTGTCCCATCGCTTTACCAGTGCGTCGAAGTCTCTTGAGTGTTGTCTCAGCCACTTCCTCACTTCCGTTTCAATCTCTTCGTCATTACCCAACTGTGAACCGGTTTACACGATAAACACTTCCCACCGTAAACAGGAATCATTTCTTTATGAATACACTTTGCATTGAACCCTTTTGCCCACAGAAACGCACAACAGATTCCTGCTCATAGGTGGTACACTCCTCAAGGACTGTCGCCATTTTGACTACTGAAACCAGCCTCTGAACATGTGCATGCGCGTCTGCTATCCAGACTCTCATAAAGCTGGACTGTGCTGCTACCTAGTGATACACATGGAAAACCTATTACGTCAGTTAGAGGTGTTTTCCATTTATGACCTGTTTACTGACTCTCCGGCGTATCTTGAGCTGAGAATGGTAAGGCAAACATATGGGCTTATGCAAGTCTTCAGTGTACTGTGGTATCTATGCACCGCGTGGTATTACACTAAAAATGTCTGCATTTTCCGTAGAGAGTGTGTTCATATTTTTCGTGTGATTTAAACAGTGTTTACCTGCTTGTCATTGTAATAAACCCAGCATGTCTTCTGTGATACAGGAACTGAATTTTGATGTCAGCGTATTCAGGCAACTTAATGCCTCACAGAGTTACAAGGTCACTCAGCGTGAGGATATTCATGAGCTCTGCGGCAGAAAGCAGTGTGTGGTATCACATCAACATGACGTGGAATAATTACTTTCAGTATTTTGAACCCTCACGCCGTCGGCCACAGCCGTTAACATTCGTGCTAGATCAGAGCGGTTTATCTGTTTCGCTGACTCTTGTTCTGCGCTGTCCAGCCTTGTCAGGACGCTCTGATTCTAGACAGCGACACTGACCAAGTGCATGTGCCTGCCTCTTCCAGAAGCAACCCCGGTCAGAAGGTCTCCTTATTAAAGTAAAGCCGACTGACGTTGATGTAAGGGGTTGCAAAATATGAAATATCGCAAGTGAAGCTGATGTATGGCCAGTGCGGAGTTCTCAGAACTGATATCTGAGTGAACGGGCTCCACGAAGATTGTGTATACCGGCTAAAGATAACAGACATCAAATCCTTCCCTTGCTTAGATTAAGAAATGAAAATAAAAACTGAAGGACACGCATGATAAAAGCGGCAACCTGTCACAGTTATTTGTAATAACCGAAACAAACAACGCCACAATATTCACTGAAATATAGATCCTTAAGGCTCGTCCACATTACTCGTGCTCGTGTGACTCGCTATGCCCGCGAGTAATGTGGACGATATGACAAGTCACGAGACAAGCAAATTTTGAATTTAAAAACTATAGCCAATAAATTAAAATACGACTACAGCCTATACACACTACGAGTAAAAATATACGGATTCTCACGCGCCGAAGCCTGGCGAGCAGCTGAAGTAGTGTGGACGAAGATTTACGAGCACAAATAAAAGCCAGAGGAGTCTCCCGACGAGCACGAGTAATGTGGACGCGCCTTTATAGCGATACTTGAAATCCTTTTAATTCGTCTGACTGTTAATTGTTAATGTCTTTCTGTAACGAGGTAACGTTTAAAATTAATTGAATGCTTAAATAATGACGCGTTTCTTCAAAATTCAGGTAATAAAGGAAGTTGTGTCGAAACGCTGCAAATGCATGGGAATCTTAGAGGAACAATTTAAATTTAAAATAACTTGTAAGGACCGATCGGTACGGAACTCACTGTTGCGCCTAGATTACCCTGCGACAGAGCGGTACGAGTGTCAGTGTACAGGTGAACTCTGCAGAGCCCGGTGTACGCGTGATACTTACGAGAGAACACGCGTGTTGCAGGCTGCTCTTGCTGGGACTCAGTGCAGTGAATGAGGCTTTCGGAACAGGAAGGTTCAGTTCCGGAAGCAGCCACCTACCGGTGTGAGCTAGGGGAGACGCACTGAAACGGACCAATCAATTCCATCTCCGTCTGAGATCGTGTTGGTGGAGCGATACTTCCACTCCCACTCACGCCTTCATGACAGGGCACCTCAGTAAAAACGGATCAACTTTCTTTCCTTAAACGCAGTAGCGTAGTTGGTTGAGGCACTATGCTACAAGCCGGAAGGTCGTGAGATCGAATCCCGATGAGGTGGATTCTTTTCAATCGACCTAATCCTTCCAGCCGCACTGTGGCCCTGGGGTCGACTCAGCCTCTAACAGAAATGAGTACCAGGAATATTCCTGGGAGGTAAAGGGCGGCCGGTGCGTAAGGCTGACAACAACCTTACCGCCATCTGTGAGCCGATTGTCTAGAAAATGTGGGAACCTCAACATCTCACAACCCTGTGGGCCTCCACGGCCTGTTACAGGGATACCTTTACTTTTACTTTTTTTTTTAATCCAAGCATTAGTATTGCAATCATTTTTAGCAAATTTCAGTAGAGTTAAGCAGAAGACGCTGATCCCGCTGAGATCTTCAGGGATGCTTTAATGCTCAATATGATTATTAGTAGCTTTTGTAATATTTATATTGGCTAGGAGAGCACTGGCCGGTCACAGTGGCCACGATGTCAAGGGCATGAACTGGGATCGTGGGTTCAATTCTAACTCGAGGCATGGATGTCTGTTTGCGTTTATTCTGTGTGTAGGTAGCAGCTTGCGAAGGGCTCATTCCCCGTCCAAGGAGTCCTACCGACTGTGTATAGATTAAGAAGAAGAAGAAGAAGAAGAAGAAGAAGTGGCCGAGGTCCACAAGGACTGTAGATAGACAGACAGACAGACAGAAGAGTATTGACGATTTGTGTTACCAGTGGGAGTGCAAAGCCTGAAACCGCCTGGAATTGGATGTTCCTCTGTCGTCTATCATAAGCAGAGATAAGAATGTTACTGTTCTCTAGAATTTTGCTCATGAAAATAAAATTCTTTACATCTAGCGAAATCAAGGTTTTACAGATGCCTTTCCTTTCCACGGAACTTACTGTACTGCAACCTCCGGGGAACAGAAGCGAGAAGACCTTCAGACAGACAGACATAGCAACACTCCCGAGACTCACAGATGACAGTGCTGAACAAGATTAGTGAACGTCAAGACGCGGTTCTGTGGTATTGCTGCTTCATGTCCGCGCTGCCCTGGCCTCAGTTCTCTGCCCGCACTTTCATACGCCGTCTGCAGGCCAAAGACGGAAACGAACCTTGAAATAGGCAACCAGCTTTGCTCGTCTCACACCTTTCGACACCTATAGGAGCTGAACCTAATACAGCGACGGTAAATAAACACCTGTCCAGAGACTGCGCTTGTTTGACCCACGTCTGTAAACATGCTATCATCATATACATTTGCTTTCAACGCTGTGCGCTGTTAACATGTGATGAGTACGATATTCCAGGTGGTACCGGGCACAGTGGCGCGCGGTCTCAGTCATGAACCGTCTTCGCTCCCTCGAACACTTGGATCATGGGTTCGAATCCCACTCGAGGTATGGATGTCTGTGTGCGTTCATTTTGTTTTGTGTTGTCCTGTGTGTACGTAGCGACCTGCGACGGGCTGATCCCCCGTCCATGGAGCCCTACCGACAGTATATACATTAAGAAACTGAAAAAGTTGCCAAGGTCCACAAGGGCTGTACAGGCATAGATAGATCTTCCTGGTTGTAATACCATATAGATGTGTTGGATTCTACCGACGTTTCGGAGGAACGTCCAGCCTCCATCTTCAGGCTCGAAGAGTAAGCCAAGCAAGAAACTAGCAAGAGGCAGACCAGAGAACTTGAAGATGGAGGCAATATGTTCCTCCGAAACGTATGTGAACCTGTATACGGAAGTACAACCCACAAGATAGTATTAACATTAGACCCAGCCAGTACGAGTATAGCTCGAGGGGCAGTGCGCTCTGCGTTGTCCCGTGTACCCTTTTTTAGTGCAGTATAGTCAGAACGGGTTAAGATGCGTTAGGGCGAAGTGTTACTCAGCCGCAGTTTCGTGCGGACCTGCTGACCACTATAAAGTTCTTCAAGATTGTGGAGTTCTGAAATGTGACGCCGTACGGTTTGGTATAGGGGGAAAATGCTGGGGGGGCCAAGTTCCCCCGAAACCACTACCTACTGCTAATCTGCACGGCGTCACATCCCACAAGATCCTAATGTTAGAATGTAGATGGTAGCTGGTAAGAACTTCTCTACGGCTCTACAGCCCCCTGGACAATGTTAGTAGGGCTCCTTGGACGGGGGATCAGCCATCGGAACAACACAAACACAGAACAAAAGCACACATACGTCCATGCCTCAAGTGGGATTCGAACCTACGATTCCAGTGTTCAAGTGGGCGAAGACTGTTCACGCCTTAGACCGCGCGGCCACTGGGATCGGCCTGGTGACAATTTGAGATCTCACTCCGCTATGTGCCAGCGGAGGTGAAAAGTGAAGGTGTTACGTAACACTGTCAAAGTGAATACTACTAAGTTATTTAATAACACTGTATCAGTCTGAGAGGTTGTATAGCGGTTAACTAGATTTATGTTATGATTGCGAATGGAAAATGAAGGAAGTTCACCTACTTAAGTAACAAATTGCAAATTTCGTGAATGTTTGGAGTTCGATTTATAATTGAAACACTCTGGGTTGCATTTGTATACATCATTTGGATTACTGATTTTGACTTTTTTATGAAATTTGATTTGATTTTAATTTGTCCTTCAAGATAAATAAATTTAAAACAAAACAGTTACAAAAGTAGTAACAAAAAATCACGAACGGTATAAATAAATACAAGGAAAAGAATTTGAAGCTAATAATGAGCCAACTCAAGCGTTCCTAGAAAAGTACTAGGAATTTCCTCCTCCACCTCAAGCGCGTAGGCCGTTGCCCTGTTTGCGACGTGCTGCCCTGTAGCTGTAGGTCGCCCGAAACTCCGGTGTCCTCTGGGCGTATAGTTTAGTAGTACTTTGGGAGTCTCTCTCTTGTCGTTCTTAAAACGTAAAGTTGTCCCTGTGCTCAACGAATTAAGCACTACGCCATGAAGGCGTATGGGGAAGTGAATGTATAGCTCCACATTTTCTTGACCTCGGCACTAGATGGAGGTGACCGGTCAGCTTCACGCCCCTGCCGCCCCGGTACCCACTAGATAGGAGGCTGGGTGGGCCCCAGAGCCGGCCTGGATGATCTTGAAAAGATAAAATTCTTGATCCTACTGGGACTCGAACTCCGAACCCTCAGTCGTCCAGCCATTAACAAAACATATTCGTAGCAGTTTTATTTTTGTCTTTCTGTTCTCTCAGTTAAATTGAATACTCCACACCCTGAACGTGTCTGTGAGTGTGTCCAGCCGCTGGACGTGGGAACCTTCTTAATGCTTTCCCATCCCTGTAACTAGACAAGCAACTTACTCATTTCAAGCAAATATTTAGAAAGAATAACAGAAATAACGTGAAATGAATGTCAGGGATTCGAAAGGGATACGGCGGGCTACGTTTCAGCGGTACATGTGGCTCCTGGGTTCGGGCCTTGCGATCCCTGTTCCGTGCAATAGTTGTACTGACATCATTCTGAGTCAGCCGCAGCCGCTCCCCCCCCCCCCCCCCCCCCAAAACCCCCCCCGCCTCCCCCCCACGCGTCCGATAGNACACAACCCGTCTCTTCCTTTAGCAGGGTTTAAAGAGGAACGCTCTGAAGTTCATTCTTGGAACGCGCTAGGCGGTTTGAGCGCGCTCTGTTTACGGGTTTCGCGTATAAACTTCCTGCGCGAAACATCGCCAGTTCCGTAGTTGCTCTGTTAAAAGAGGCCATACCCCTACATTAATGGCTAGCATAATGCAGCCAAGTGCCCGCCTCTGTGGTCTAGCGGTCAGTGTTCTGCCTACAGATCCAGAGGTCCCGGGCTCGATTCCCGGCGCTTCCAGATTTTCTCAGAAGTAGTAGGTCTGGAACGAGGTCCATTCAGCCTCGTGAGGATAACTGACGAACTATTTCAAGGAAATAGCGGCTCCGGTCTAGAAAATCGAGATTGGCGCCATGGGGATCCGTTGCGCTGACCACGCGGCACCCTCTATCCGCAAAAGTTGGCACTAACTTCGCTAATAAGTGGCGATCGCTCGGTCAGTATAGATCGCTTGCGGACTACAGGCCACGGAGTTTGTGTGCAGCCAAGTCCTTGAGAAGTAACAGCCTCTCAGACAGTCAAGAATGTGCATCCAGCTCTTGTGATTAGCAGCAAACTTAATTTTTCAATGGAGTTGAAATTAAGATTAATAATGTGTCTACCACTACCACTACTACTGCTACTGCTGCTGATACTGCTAGTAGTAGTAGTAGTAGTAGTAGTAGTAGTAGTAGTAGTAGTAGTAGTAGTAGTAGTAGTAGTCTAGGAGATTTATCTCAGGTATAACTGAAGCACAAGGCTTGCTTGACCAGTCCCATATTAGCATAAACATGGATATAAATAAAGATTTCTAACCAAGATACGAACTCGAGGTGTCCCTAACACGTAACATGAGCACTATCACAGCACTTCATGCGTAGATGTATTATTAAGTGTAGGAAGAGTTCTGCCGCCGTGCAGTGTGGTGAAACCAGAAGATAGAATTCTTCGTAACTGCCTCTTTGAGAACCACTGCCATATTTTGTTAACTTACCCGTTTGTGAGAATGAAGGTAATCTTGTCTTTCTACCACATGGTTTTGTTGCTGACCGAATGCTTTTTCTTTTTGTTTAGGTACGTACGCCTACATTACGTTGCACGAGAGGGGTAAGTGATCTTGACAGATATTTTTACAACTGATCTGGGTGAATGTGCATGTGACAGTAGTAGGTACCTGTGTAGGTAAACAGTGGTTGTGCATGTGACAGTAGTAGGTACCTGTGTAGATAAACAGTGGTTGTGCATGTGACAGTAGTAGGTACCTGTGTAGGTAAACAGTGGTTGTGCATGTGACAGTAGTAGGTACCTGTGTAGATAAACAGTGGTTGTGCATGTGACAGTAGTAGGTACCTGTGTAGGCAAACAGTGGCAGAATCAGTAATTATGAAATTAAGATCGGTTATCTGTAACTTTAAAATTCGTTATATGACTAGATTTATAAGAAATATAATTTATTTCCTATGTTGTCTCTTCTGTCTCAAACCGTGTAATATACAAGGCAATTCATAAGTACCCCCTGAACTTCGGAATTCGGCAGTCCAACAAGGAGCCCGAAACAGCAGAAAGGAACACATCAGTAGGCAGGGCATCTCTCCATGTTTGTTTGGGTAATAGGCGCCATGGCGTACTTGCAGGTTTCACCGCTAGGGGCAGTCGTGACGAAACATGGCGAGGACGGACTTTCAGGAACATGAGATTGGTATGCGTGGCCTCCGTGGTAAAGTTGTTCCTATGATAATTAAGCCCTACGCCATGAAGGCGCAGTGGGGGAGTGAAGGTACGGATTCACATTTTCTTGACCTCGGCATTGGGTGGAAATGAATGGTCAGCTTCACGCCCCGGCCGCTTTACCCCCGGAGAAATAGCCCGCGGCACCCATTGGATAGGAGGTTGGGTGGACCCCAGAGCCGGTCTGGATGACGTGGAGAAAATTTTTTATCCCAACCGGGCTGGAACTCCGACCCCTCGGTCTTCCAGCGCGCAGCCAGTCGCTATACCGACTACGCTATCCCGGCTCCTCGTGTGTTCCCCGCGGCTTTATAAAATTACATATTTTGAAGCCTTTTAGTCCAGCAAAAACGTCAGGCGCAGGCTCCATTCGAAATGAGAAAATTAAGTAGCGGAGCACCGTTGAACGCTTGAACTCTTTAGGCCAGTTCTCTCTTCTCAGAATTTCGTACTTTTCTCAACACGTTACAGAAATTTCAGGCCTGACGCATGGAGAGGACTTGTTTGTATCCACCTTCTCCTGCTCCAACTTCGCGTTCTCTGACCCTGCCGTGCGCACACACTATAGTGAGGCAACGGAAAGAGGTTCCATGAATAGTGGGGATGACAGCGCTAGAAGCGTTTCCTTACAGCCTTGTCATACCCCAGTCCATCCCCTGCTGCATAGGCATACAGCCAAACTCTTGTCACTACCTACTGCTGTACATTCGTACGAACGGATTGGCTAGATGATTTCAGATGAGTATAGGGATGCACGCTGCAGAAGGAAGTGGAAACTATTAAGATAGACCGGGGGGGGGGGCATGTATATTATATGGGACCCCTTTCCGTGCCCTCGGTATGGCTAATGAATTAAGTAAAAGTACTTCGGTTGGCAACACTGTCCACGCCCGTTCCATTACTACAATTGGACATCAGAGTGATAACATACTCTTTCCCTTTTGGGTTTATTAAATCAAAGTGGGGCCACCGAAAGAAACCCTTAAGATCTCCGGCCCTGGAAGTGCTGGGAAAGCAGCTACTTATCTTGCCCGACAAGTTCCAATATGTACGTGTACACGCGTTCCCTCTCGTTGCTTTAATTATCTCGAAAACACAGAGACTTATGAAGAGGGCTGGGTATAGTGTGTGTGTTGTTTATCTCTGCAACGTTTGTTTGAACGTCTTTTATTGCTGAAATTAAGCGACTGACGCTGGACATGAGCGCAAAAATGCATATATGTCTCCGTATAGAGTGTCCGTTAATTTTGCCCGATATTAATCGAATTTTAATGTATCGATATCTTTTAATACAACTCTTTAGTATGAAATTTCATGCAAACCTGTTCAACGGCTCTCAGGTTTGTTACATGCCGATAGACAGATGGACAGACATGGCGGAATTCGTGTCTAAAATAATCAGAGGTGTGGGCTCGAGGGGGCGCTGAGGAGCATGAAGGCATTCATGTAAGTGGGCGTGTGGCTGTTGTCCTAATTGGAAGGTTTCATTAAATCACAGTAGAATTCTAAAAGCATCATATTTCACGAAAATCCATTCAGGAGTTCTCGAGTTGTGTCATTCATGCAGAAAGATAGAAGGATTGAAGAGTTTTAATTGGCTGTCCTCATGGATGCGAACGCCTGTAAAAAAAAGCACTGCTCTCTTGGGAATAAATGGTGAAGTAGAAGTCGCTTACTTTTGTTTTGTATTCTGCTGTTTTTACTGAACGTTTTCCCCACAAAACTAGACACAATTAAAGCAGTATAAAAAGGGGTTGTCCCTATTTAAATGTATAAACAGTGGCCATGCTGTTTCTTCAAAGTACACGTAAATATATTAAGTAATGCCAGTCCCACACTGAGAAGTGTAGATGTTGTTTCATGATTAAGTATTGTCATGCGTTAGAGTGACTCTCGACGGGTTTTGGGTTGGATTTATTGATCACTTTAAACACACGACTCGTGACTACATTTAATTCTAGTGTCATCGCCGAGCTCCACACTTTACAAATCACTACAGCCCACAGACTAATGTTAGTCTGTTACAGCCTCCACTAGCCGTTCCCTGGTAACGGCCTCTATAGTGGGGACTCTTCAACTGCACCGAGTCTTCTCTTCAGAGGTTTCCTTACAACTCAGTGAGTTCTTCACAACTGACTGACTCCCAGGTTGGCAACCATTTCGCACCAACCTCCCAGTCGTCTCTTCAGACAGACTTTCAACTAACTACTCACTAAGGTCTAAACTTCGTCCAGCGTATAACCCGTCTGCACGGACCACGTGGAAAACAGCTCTTCTATTGTAATTCAACTGTTGTTGTGTGGAGACGTGTTTAACGCGCTGCTGCATAGCAGCGGCCTCCGTGAGGACTACAGAAAATATCGTTTCCAACAGTTCCTCTATTGTAGTTCAGCTGTTGCTTGTTAAGAATCTGCTCCCTACTAATAGCTGTTGTCGTTTGTTTCGCGGTCGTTGCCTAGAAACGGATCTACGCCTCAGTATTTTTACCGGTTCGTAGCTTCCAGGTTAAAGCCATGAAGATCGAAAATATAAAATTTCAGCCATCTACTGAATTTAATTAATTTTCGGTTTATTTCTGGACTGTGCGATGCTCTTGCTGTTCCAGGTGTAACAAGGAGGAGATAATTTGGCAGAATCGAACATATCCAACATTCAGTTTAATTTTGTCATCTCTTGCTAAGGATATGGGTCAGTACTCTTCTGTATAACACCACTGCACCCTCCACAATCTGCTAGCCCCATGTCTACAAGAGTCTGCAAGGATTCTAGGATTCACAACTCTCGAAAGGCCTTCAAAAAGTAATTAACATGATATTGCCTAGAACGCCATGTCCAAGACTCGAAGTTTGGACGATAGCCTCAAGACGCATTACATTCTCTAAATCTACTGCCAGAAAATATCAAAATCCTCCCTATAGCCTTTACACGAACAGTCAAATCAGTATTTTTTTTTTATTTCTAGTGGGGTGAGACTGAGTCCCTTGTACTGCGGCCACTTCTGGCCTATTGTACCAGCCCCAGATGATAGGTGAGGGTGATTGTGGAGCAATTGATGGAATGAAGATTGGCAGGGGAAACCGAAGTACTCGGAGAAAACCTGCCCCAGCGCCACTTTGTCCACCACAAATCCCACTTGGCCAGACCCCGGATCGAACCAGGGCCACCGCGGTAGGAAGCCAGCGACTAACCGCTTGAGCTATGGCGCGGCCCAAATCTGTAATTACTAAGAATTTTGGAAATAAGGTAAAGTAATATTAACACGTCATCGCCGAGCGTTGGTGTAGTGTTAGCCCCTTCCATCTTCTGTCTGGTATTTTGGCTACATTCTCTGGGGACTGACTGTACTGGCTGAGATTCTTCATGGTGTTTCTCAGTTCCTCTAGGCAAACGTTGATGTAATATCTTGTCCCTTTCTTCCACCTAGCAGTAGGACGTGACAGAAACTTATTAATGCAGTTTTGCAACTATTTGCATCCTTTCGTAACCTGATCTTTCTCAGGTGCTTTAATCTTATCAGCACTTTGTTTGGACAGCCCTAAACCTGCCCTGCCTTCCCTAAGATTGCAGATCGCGGTTTCACATTCGTGCAGAATAACAAACAAGAATTAGGCATATACTTCCATATACCGTGTGAACGTGGGCCAGAAAGCTGCACACAATTACCGAGTGCCCTTATCTGTTGATCTGACTGCAGACGTACTCGTGATTTCAGTTTCTTGCTGTTGTTTCCAAATATACACACTTTTCTACATTCTTGCCTTCACACTATAAAATGGTTTGTTGAATTTGATGTTCTTGTGGTGTGGGATGTACCAATAAGATTGTGTATCTGGCAAAACTTTAATGATATTTCGGGTGAACATATTGCCTACATCTTCAGGGCTGAAAATTAATGAAAGTAACAAACCAGAGATTTGCTTGATTGACTTGTTCTTCGACCCAGATGGTGATTCCTCTGAAACGTCGTGAACTTCTGTTGGATTGCACTGCTCACATTGCAGAAGACAGTGGCCATAATGGAAGATTTATTCGCCATTGGTGTTCATGTTCCTGCTTATGATCTGAAAATGGAATAAGCAGTTCGGACTATGCAGTACCCTGAACTTAGCTTGTTTCAGAAAGAAACCCACCTTGTGCATGTGCGCATGCCTTCAGTTAATCAGTAAAACAAAGTACTCGTACTAACGTACTGTTGCAGAATGCCCCTGTGAGGCATTCCGACGACCTCGTGTCATGATACAGAAGCAAGCTGCTGATAATGCGTGCAGTTGGAAGGATGCTGATCATACGAAAGGCAGATTTTAGTGATTTTAGTCCGCAAGCGAACCGTAACGACCGAGCGACCGCCGCTTGTGGGCGAAGTTAGTGCCAACTTTAGC